CAGCCCTCACGGCAGGCACGGCCATAACCGCAGGCGGCTGTTCCCACAGCCCACAGCCCATCCCACGCTGTGCCCTCCAAACACCGCCGAGCCGCGATGCCATGTCCCTGTCCCTCTGAGGAGGTGCCACTGCGGGCGAGGCTGGCTCGGAGGGCGCGTCCTCCCCCTCGGCCCGTACCCGGGTCCCATCCATTCGGAGCACGTTTCACAGAAGGGCCTCAGCACCAGCGAGGACTGGGAAAACGGAGGACCGCTCTGGTGCCGAAGGAATGAACACGTGCGCCCAGCTTGAAGGAAAAGGGAAAGGAGAGGAAAACAATTACAGGAAAGTGGAAAACTGAGCTGACCTAACAGCAGTGCATTTCTGAGTCGGCAAAGGTCGTCTTCCTCCTCCGACACAGAGAGAGAAGCAGGTGATCCTGAGGGACGGGAAAAGGTGGTGGGAGGGGCTGGAGAAGAGAGGCCTGAAGCCACACTAGTTCACCCGACTCGCAGGGGATGCTGACTCGGTGAGAGGCAGCGTGCGGTGCAGCCTGGCTTAGACCGGGTGCCCCCCTACCCCTGCCCCAGGCTCCTCTGTGCCCTCCGGCTGCTCAGCCCTCTGGTTCCATCCTGTGGTCCTCACCAGGGCTCCCTCCTCCTGCAGACCAGCCTCCCACATGCTTCTTTTGGCCGGTTCCTCGCTGCACCCTCTCCCAGGCCAGCCAGGTACCGGGCACCTTTGGGACACTGCCCCGGGCCTGGCCGTGCTCTGTCGGACCGGCTCTTCCCTGAAGCCTGAAGGGCCTGCACTTCCTTCCCTTCCCTGCAAACACCGCCAGGCACAGCAGCTGACTCAGTAAGACATGTTGGCCAAGTGAGCCCAAGAATTATATTAGAGCCTGGCTGGCTTGGCTCAATGGGTAGTGTTGGCCTGTGGAATGAAGGGTCCCAAGTTTAATTCCAGTCAAGGGCACATACCAGGGTTGCAGGCTCGATCCCTAGTAGGGGGTGTGCAGGAGGCAGCCTATCACTGATGTTTCTCTCTCTCCCTCTCCCTTCCTCTCTGAAACCACATACAAAAGAAGAGGAGGAAGAGGAAGAGGAAGAGGAGGAAAAGAAGAAAGAGGAAGCAGAGGAGGAGGAGGAGGAAGAGGAAGATGAGGAGGAGGAGGAAGATGAGGAGGAGGAGGAAGATGAGGAGGAGGAGGAAAAGGAAGATGAGGAGGAGGAGGAGGAAGAGAAAGAGGAGGAGGAAGATGAGGAAGAAGAAGGAGAATCACAATGAGAAACATGCTGTCCAGTCAAAGACAGCCTCTCTAGACAGGGCTCCCACCCACCAGCCACCGCCTGCAGCCCCAGTCACGCAACAGGGAACAGAAGCTGCGGTCCCCAAGACGCATCCTGCTGCTTCATTTTGAGAGGTTACCTGAGGCCATCAGCAAGGCCGGTCCTCAGTCGGGTTTTACTCCAGCTGCTCAGCCTAACAGCCCAAGTGCTTCCCCAAGTCCTCTGGAAACAGGCCGCACGGGGAGAGCCGCCTGGACACTACATCGCTCCTCAGCCCAGGGACAGGCACTGAGGCCCCACGCCTCGGTCACAGGCCACCCCCTGGCGGGGCCGGCGGGCCGAGGGCCATGGGCAGAGACACCGGCAGGCACTTCCCGGCAGTGTGCGGTGTTAAGAAAGTGGATGCATTCTCTGATGAGGAAGCGGCTCATGTCTGATGCAGCCACCCCCACGCACAAGGCCCAAAACAGGGTTTTCCCGGCCCCAGGGGTGCCCGGGCTCCGCCACGGTGCCGCTCGAGGCCTCACTGCCGCTGTGGCTGTGGCTGCGGCTATGGCTGTGGCTGCAGATGGAACCCTGAGACTCAGCCAGGTCTGTGCCGGCTGCTGCCGCAGAGCCATCTGCGGCCCCTGCCCCTGCCTGCGGTCCTGCCCCTGCCTGCGGCCCCTGCCTGTGTCCGGGGTCCTCCCGGGCAGGGCCGGTCCCGGAGACGCACACGAGAGCGCAGGTTCTCAGAGCCTCTGAGGTCCCGGAATGGCTCGTCCGCTTCTCCCTGCACCCGGGTTCTGTCCAGCCTGGACCCTGCAGGGAGCCCCTGCCTGTGGTCTGCAGAGCCGTTCCAGGGAGGGCGAGGCCAGTGGCCACCATGGACGCCCGCCCACCACATTCCGTGAATGCGCGTCCCTCTGTTTGTTGTTGATTTTCTGGGGAGAGGTTTGGGGAAAGGTTTGGTGTTTTGGTTTTGTTTTATTAATTTATATTCTCGTCTTTTTGTTGTTTTTTTCTGTTTTTACATTTTATTTTGTTGCCCTGCACATTGTTTTAGATCCACAGAGCCAGCTTTCTCCCCCTCACCTACACCCCCCACTAAAATCAAACGGCCTGGAATACTGAATGAAAGTTACAGTATCAGAAAACATGGCCGAAAAAGCACATTTCACACCTGGGCCCCTCTGGACCCCGCGTGGCGGTGTAACCGGACCCTCGTAAACCTGAACACAGAGACACACTTAACTGCACAGAAGACTGTCTGCCTTCCTGCGGGGCCATCTGCCTCCGTACATTTGTCAGGACTCTGACATCCAGCTTCCTTTAGGTTTCAGCTCTCACTCCCAGAGCCCAGGCCAGAACTCAGCGCCCGGAGAGCCGGGCCAGGGTCTCGGCCAGGAGCACTCCGCTGGGTGTCCTCGGAGGCTGGGTGTCCGCCTGGCGTCCAGGGTGTCAATGGAGGCGCTGCTGGCAGGGCCGTGCTGGCTGTGACTGCAGAGAGCAGCTGGCTCTGGGGACAGAGGCCTGGACTGGGGAGGCCCTGCCCGGTGGTGATGGCCATGCAGGGAGTGTCCCGAGGAGGAAAGGAGAAGGGGCGCTGTCCCCCCCGAGGAAGTTCTTTCTCAGGAGGCAGCGTCCCTGTCAGAGGAACGGCCAGCCATGTGTGTGTGTGCGTATGTGTGTGCGCGAGTGCCTGTGTCTGTGTGTGTGTGTGCATGTGTGTGTGTCTCTGTGTCTGTGTGTGTGTCTGTGTGTCTATGTGTGTGTCTCTGTGTGGGTCTCTGTGTGTTTCTGTGTGTGTGCCTGTGTGTCTGTGTCTCTGTGTGTGTCTGTGTGTGTCTGTGTGCATGTGTCTCTGTATGTGTCTGTGTGTGTCTGTGTGTGTGTCTGTATGTGTGTCTATGTGTGTGTCTGTGTGTGTGTCTATGTGTGTCTGTGTGTGTGCCTGTGTGTGTCTGTGACTCTGTGTGTGTGTGTGTGTGTCTGTGTGTGTGTGTGTGTTAGATGTTCACCTCCAGAACCGCCTCCTGAGCCACATGTGGCACCAGGGGCCTCAAAGCCATTTGTCGTAGTGATTCCTCCACAGGCACACACCCCAGAGACGCGGGGCTCTGGAACAATAACGCCAAATCAAAGACAGTCCCAACCATGGCAGCCCGCCAGCCTCGGGCCCACACACAACAAAAGCCAATGAAGTTTAGAAAAACCCAAAGTAAAAAACAACCTTAAAAGTTTCCTCCGAAATCATAGTAAGCTTTTAAAAAAGTTTTTAAAAAGTCAAATGTGTCTGCATCTCTTACCTAGTTATAAAAGCAGGAGCAGGCCCCCAGCACTCACCACACAGGCACCCCACCACCCAGCCCTCACCCATACAGACACCTGCAGCCTCCAGACCTCACCCACACAGACGCCCCAGCCCCCAGCCCTCACCCACACAGACGCCCCCAGCCCCCAGCCCTCACCCACACAGACGCCCCCAGCCCCCAGCCCTCACCCACACAGACGCCCCCAGCCCCCAGCCCTCACCCACAAAGACGCCCCCAGCCCCCAGCACTCATCCATGCATGTACTCCCAGCCCCTAGCACTGATACCCCCAAATTAGTTGAATTTGAAATACCCGGCTTTCTGAGGTATTTTCCCGGCAGCCCCTCTGTGCTCCAGCCCTTCCGCCTCCGTCCCCCGGAGGCAGGGACAGACTCACAGGTCCAGGTGCTGGGCACCTCCAGGTTTGGCAAGAGGCACCAGGCCCCTTTGCCTGCAGATCGGCATCTTTAAAAGGTATGTTGACAAATGAGTGAAGACGCTAAAACTAATCACCCTCTGTGAAGAGCCGTGCGAAAGGCCTGTTTTGCACACATGCGTTTAAGCCGCTGTACTCCTTAAGGAGCCGTTTTATCCGGGGGAAGTGGCTCAGTTACTCACATTCCTAAAAGACAAGCAGGGCATTGGAAGTGGGGAAACGGGGCCTGTTTTAACCGGCAGAGGAACACCCCTCACCTGTCACAGAACCGGGAGGTGGCCGGCACGGCCCCCGAGGGCGTTCACGGCCCCAGGGCCAGGCCTCAGTGGAGAGGGTGTGATGACCAGGTGTTTTCTCTAAAGTGTTTCCTTCACAGCGAAGGTCAGACATAAGGCCCGAGGCCTGAATCCCCAGAGGCCTGGGCTTGAAAAAGCGTTTGTGTCCACAGGGACCACGAGCCCTCCGGATGCCGGACTGAGGAACCGCGAGAAAGAGGCTCAGGGAGCCACAGGGGGCCCATCAGGAGGAGCCCTAGGAGACAGCCCCGCATTGTCTGGGAAAGCTGCGGGGGCAGAGGTGTGCAGGCAGAGAGCCGGCACCTGGGAGGAGACCCTGACCTGCCACACACCGTCCCTGCCTTCCACCTCCCCCAGCGGCCTGCACTGTCTCCTCTCCGCATCTCTCTGCCAACGTGCTCGCTCCTCTGCACCGCGGCCGCCTGCGGACGCTCCCGCAGACACTGACCCCATCTTCATCTGCTCACAATGCGAACGCCTGTCCACTCGGAAGTGTCCCCGACAACTCCCGTGGCTCCTGCACGTGCGTCACGGGTCCAAGGAGGACCCTTTGGGGGTATTTCTTTGTATCCCTCTCATTGTTTTGTCTTTAAAAAACATACAAATGCCCATCATAATTGTAAACACGTGGTTTCAGACCCTGGCCAGCTCCGCGCCCTCTAAGTCGGCGTGGCTCCCGTGGCCAGGGGCCAGCCGGGGGCCTTACCCGGGTGTGCGTGCGGATGTGCATCTTCAGCCCGTCGTTCTTGCTGAAGCCCTTCTCGCAGTACGGGCACTGGTAGGGGCGCTCGCCTGCGGACGAAGGAGAGAAGGCTCCGCGTCAGATCATACAGATGCAGTGCAAGCAGTGCTGTCTTCCTCCTCCTCCCGCACTCTGATCGGGCCCCACTGCGCCCCGTGCCCACTGGGTCCCAACCACCATGGTGGGCAGCGGGCCGAGCTTCCCTCGGTGGGCAGGGACCCAGCCCCGGGCCCTGGCCGGCCTCAGAGACCAGCAGCAATCCCAGCGCAGGCCTGATGCACGGCCCTTTTACTGCATGAGCCCACCCGAAACCTCCTGGATTTTAAGAATTGGTGGGAAAGATTTTAGGAATCATTTAGGAATCATTTTTTTAATCCTCACCTGAGGATATTCGAAGAAGAAGAAGAAGAAGAAGAAGAAGAAGAAGAAGGAGGAGGAGGAGGAGGAGGAGGAGGAGGAGGAGGAGGAGGAGGAGAAGAGGAGGAGGAGGGTGGGGGAGGGGGAGGGGGAGAAGGAAGTGAGAGAGAGAGAGAGAGAGAGGGAGAGAGAGAGAGGGAGAGAGAGAGAGAGAGAGACGGGCATCGATGTGAGAGAGAAACATCTACCAGTTGCCTCCCACACGGTGCCTGGGATGACATGACGCTCAGCCACCCCAGCCGGGCTCTGAGTCTGTTCATTAAGGAGCAACACTAACCAGAGAGCACTGTGCCCATGGAGAGGGTCTTTAATTATCCCACTGACACTTCCTCTGCTTCTAAAGAAAAGATTTCATGTCCTGTCCCAGTTAGGGGGTGAGTTTCAAAAGAGCTTCCTAGGAGCCAGTGCAAACACCTCCCCGCAGTATGGCAGGCAGACGCAGGCACGGCTGAACCCTTTGGGCGAACCACAGTATCCAAACGCTGACAAACTCGGGAATTAGTCATCTAAACATTCACTCGGAAAATGGAGCTAAAAGCTCGTTGAAGCAGAAACAGTAACAGCCGCCGACGCCTGTGGGTCCCACGCCCTCTGTGCTCAGCACCCCACAACCTTGGGATCTGGGTTCCGATCCCCGTATCCCTGGTTCCCAAATGGAGAACGTGAGGCACAGGGAGGAGGGGCACTGCCTCAGCGGACAGAGCTGCTGCATGCTGGAATCAGAATGTGACCCCTACCTTTGCCTCCCACTGACGAATAGCATGGCAGCTATTCTGGGTAACTTTCTAAAGTGACTGGCGGAGACTCTGCTTCTTAACATGACAGTTAACATGAACCAGATATTTCTGTCCAGAGAGAGGCACTGAGTCCTCAAAGCTCCTGGCGGGGGGGGGGGGGGGGGGGGGGGGGAGGTGGTGGTGGTGGTGGTGTGTGTGTGTGTGTGTGTGTGATGTCTCAAGCAGGCCCGCCATCGCAGGAGATGAGTAATCGCCTTGGAGCGGAATGCGGCCCTGGCAAACACAGCTCACCTAGGGGCAGCTACCAGCAGTCCGAGTTAATGGGCACAGCCACACACATGACACTGACGTGTGTATGACAGCAAAATAGTTTCTGTCATGGCTAAGAAAAATAGGCATGTTGGAGAGTGGGAATTTTTGCCCATTCCAGAGAGGCAGTGGACTGTGCCCCAGATGGAGCTGTCAGTGCTGATGCTAGGCCAGGCCTTGAGATATGGTCTCATGGCCCCTTCCCAGCACATAGGCCTTCTTTCACAGAACACTGTCAGCTTTCTGAAGAACAGGATGACCCTGTGAACAACATGGTCGTCAATGGCATGACTTTGACTTTGCTTGGGAAACACTGTTTTGTCTTGGGTTGCTTGCTCCGCAAAAACAGGATGTGGTTAATGTGTTTAAAAGTGGTCCTGCACAAAGGGTCAGGGCTGCTCTCTGAACTCCCTGCGTGGGGAATGGCAGAGCAGTTGCCCAGCCAGCTAATAAAGGCTCCCTAAATTTTAATTTGGTCTGGACTCCAGTGGTCATTCACAGGCATTCGCTCAACAATAGGCGAGTTCTTTGTACCTGCCTCTTTCTTTATATTATGCTCTGACACCCAATAATATTAACATCATCTTGTGTTTTCTTCAAATACATCCAGGAACAAAGAGAAGCATGATGCCAGCTGTACAGGGTTGAATTTAGGTTGATTTTAAGAGATGCCACAAAGTGGAGGCTCCATGAAACGACTTCCTTCCTTCATTAAATAGGGATCTTTCTTTGTCAGGGCCTTGGAATGGGGTTACAAGTGCATTCGTAAAACCACTGTCTCTTCCATTTTACTAGTGCAATGAGAACGGCGTGGAAAAGTTAAAGAACACATACTATGATTTCAGATATGGATGGAGACAGGTGTGGACAGCCTCTGAGGAGAGCGGGGGAAGAACCTGGCTAAGCTCTCCAGGAAAGGCCCAGGATTGAAGGAATGCCATTCTGGTGCCAGTGTAAGATGATTTGAGCAAACTCTGTGTAAGTCTCCACCTCTGAATTATTTTATCATGCTGGGCTAGTGCCAAATTCTCACTGTTGGCACGCCTGAGGTGGAAGGAGCTTACAAATATTCCAGATGTGAAAGGGAGAAGAAAGGTGGGAAATGTTCAGGAAAGGACTCCAGTAAATGGGGCGGTGCCCTCAACAGGGGCCATCCGGATGCCACCTGGAACCCCTTACAGAGTCTAACCTGGTCCCCAAGCCAGTCCTGGTGAGTCTTTAACAAAGAAAATGCATTATGGCCCTAACTGGTTTGGCTCAGTGGATAGAGCATCGCCTGCGGACTGAAGGGTCCCAGGTTCAATTCCGGTCAAGGGCATGTACCTTGGTTGCAGGCACATCCCCAGTAGGGGGTGTGCAGGAGGCAGCTGGTCCATGTTTGTCTCTCATCGATATTTCTAACTTTCTATCCCTCTCTCTTCCTCTCTGTAAAAAAATCCATTATATATATATATATATATATATATATATATATATATATATATATACACACACACACACACACACACACATATATATTAAATGCATAATGCATTTTAAATGCATTATGACAACAACCATGGCTAAAGGCAATAGGGGGAAACTCGATTCTAGTTTAATGCATGCTACTAAAATAATTTATTAATGCTCCATTATTTTATGCAATGCAGTGTTACTAAAGATATGATAAGAACTTTGTTCTCACCAAGGAGCAACACACTAATAATAAAACAGCACCTGAAGCTTGTGGAGGGAGTGAAGGTTAGCAAGTGTGCTCATGATACAAGGACCCTAAAGCCTCTGAATACTGACTATCCATCGATGGCTACAAAACCACCTTACTATCCGACATCTGGACACAAATCCTTCCCAAAGATCGTTGTTTAGATAACATAAAATCAATAAAGAAAAACCTTGGAAGTCCTGGTATTCTTAAATGAGACATGTTGATATTCTTAAATTAGGCCATGGGTTTAAGAAATGAACTTGACCACTTGGTCAGATGGCTCAGAAGATCAAATTTTATATCATGTCAGTAAACACACTGAATGCAACAGACTGAGCAGCAATGGCCATGAGCAACTTGGAAGATTAAAAGATATACACAATAGCTGGGCCGGCGTGGCTAAGTGAACAGTTCGTGCCCCGGGGACAATTTGTGTATTAGGCTATTAATATACAGGATTACTTACTGCCTAGTGTTCTTAAACCTGTGAACAAATATTCTAAAAATGAATGAATTCCTTTAGCAAAAACATTAGAGAAAACATTAGAGAAAACAGTGGCTGGAATCCAAGTAGAATCAAATTATACTGAGCCGTTATTTCTAAGTGGATCCCACGTACTTACTGAAACGTTAAGTGTTTGCTGGGACAGTGATTTATGACTCGGAGCGAGCAGCGGCGTGCAGCCGGCCCGGAGCAGAAGGCCCACAGCCGGCGACTATAACACCCAGACTGGGGAGCCGCAGGCAGGTAATTAACCTTCTGGCCCGGTGCTGTAGAACCCAAAGGCAGTTCCTGAAATTCCTCTCAGAATTTATGAACAACTGGTGGAATCCCCGCCACAGCCCACAGATTCCGTGCGGAATCACCCCCGTTCCAGCTGCCTGAGAAGCTGTGGGCCGTCCGGAGGCAGAGCCACTCGCTGTTCCTGCTGCCTTCCGAATGGGAGCCACCGCCGGCACGCCAGCCTGGGAGCCGGTGAGGAATGACAGCTGCCTGCTGGGCACAGACACATGGTCTCTATGAACCAGCATCGCGTGACCCGGTCTCATGGACCACTGGTTTTATGGTGGGAAAGCGTCTCCAGGGTGGAGCTGAGTGCTCAGTTAGAACGTAAGTCACACGCCACACACTCTATGCGTCCAAGGGCAGCTGAGTGCCCTCAACTGGCTGAAGACCAAGGTGATGTCCTCACACACTGTGGGAGGCACGTATGTAACCCCGGTACGTCAGGCATGTGTGTAACCCGTGGTACCTCAGAAGCAGCGGGAGGCTAGGAGGCATTGATAGAGAACAAGGGATAAAATACCAGCCACGTGACACTGGAAACCCAAATTATCATCTGCCTTCCTTCAGTTCTGGATGAGCCACACATGAGTTCTGTAATGAGCAAACCACTGTACTCAGATGGCATGAGTTGCTGGGCATGAATTCAACTAAGAGACTTGAACTAGAAACTTTCTGAAATTCCTTTCTATTATAAAAGTCAATGGTTTATTATATTTTCCCCTGGCTGGTGTGGCTCAGTGGGTTGGTCATCATTCTGTACACCAAAGGGTCACCAGGTCAACCCCCAGGGAGGACACACACCCGGGCTGCGGGCTCGATCCCCGGTGTGTGGGGGAAGGGGGTGCAGAGGCGCCGATTGATGCTGCGCTCTCGCATCAATGTTTTGCTCTCTCTCCCTCTTCCTTCCTCTGCCTTTAAAAATCAGCAAAGGTATTTTTTACGAAAGAATACTATAGTTTAATGATGTATAAAAGCAAACGCCTTGGGAACATTTGCTGTGCATGTCCTTATTCAAATCACCTAATTACGAAGAATGAGCGGACTTTAGAAGGTAGATACAAAGTTCATGAAAAACAACATTTTCAACATTCACGGAAAAACCAAAGTTTAGTCAGATTTCACCCCAGCATTACCCAATGATGGGAATGGGATGGAGGGACAGAGAAGACAGGTGAGACGAGGGCACAGCTAATACAACTGGTTGGTGAGCTGAGGCGGTAAAAGATAAAGTCAATCAGGATGTGAGGAGCCAGAGGCATTTTTAAAAGGTTTCCTTTAAACGGAGAAAGAAACATTGAGATTCCCCCCAGAGGAACAGACAGGTAGTAACTTGATAGCTGAGCCATCACCGTCTGAGAGAATGACCGTGGTCTGAGCCAACAAAGGAAGAGCGGCTCTGAGAAAGGGACCATAAAGTAGACACACGGTACCAGCCAACGGGAGGAGGAGCCCGAGGCTGCAGCCACAGGTCCCTTCCACAAACCTGTGCTGAGGTTACAAAAGAGAATCCGCTTCCCAAAACCCTGACGGACGGCCTGAACACTATAAAAACCAAATAGGCCCACTCTTCCCACAAAGCGAGGAGACAGAGGAAAGACCGTGGCCGCAGAGACACCTCAGCACGGGGCGGAGTGTTCAACGTGCATCACCTCGCCGAAGGGTCCTCCGTGGGGAACCCCTTCCTTGGCGAGAGAAAGCACCCATTCGGCCGGGAAAGGTTGGGGGAGGGGAGGCTGAGGGCGCTCGGGGGTGGCCCGGGGAGAGTTGGGGAGTGAATGCACAGCACAGAGGGCTTCAGGGCAGCAAAACTACTCGGCACAACACTCCAATCATGGGCACGTGGCATTGTCATTCGCCGGAGCCCACAGGACGTCCAGCAGCAGGAGGGCGCTCTGAGGCAGACAGCGGCTGGGGGGGAGGGGGAGTATAGTGTGTCAGCACGGGTTCAGGGACTGCACGGGCTCATCTCTGGATGGGGATGTGGATGGTGGGGGCTGTGTCCGGGGAGGAGGTGCTAGCAGAAGAGCCAATCTCTGTATTTTACTGTGAACCCAAACTTGCTCTAAAAAACAAAACCCTTTTTTTTTGTTAAAAAAAAAATAAATAAATAAAAGCCACCTGGTAAAACTACATTTAGCTGTCATGTTCTCTGTGTTATTGCCACCATAAAGGTGGCTCAGGAGGAAATGAGCAGGGGGATGTGGAAATAAAAATTTTAGCACACCTTTCATTTGGCTCTAAAGCATCAAGCTTTCAAATTACTGAAATAATGGTAAGACCTTTAGAATTTCATTCCTCATCTTTTATACTGGAGAACTTACAGCATTTTATAATTCATGTGTTATTTTTTAAAATAAATCTTTACTCATTTCAGAAAGAAAGGAAGAGGGAGAAAGAGGTAGAAACACCAATGATGAGAATCACTGATTGGCTGCCTCCTGTATGTTCTCTACCCCAACCAGGAATCAAACCGTGACTTCCTGGTTCATAGGTTGACACTCAACCACTGAGCCCCCCCAGCCGTGCTTCTTGTGATAATTAGAACAGCTGTGTAGAAGAAAAAGCAGAGACCACAGCTGGATTCTATTTCTTTGACTAGGTAACCTTGTTCCCTGGGCTGGCTGGGTCCTTGGCTGTCTGAGCCTCGGGTTCAGGGACAGGAAGTGAGTGTGGCCTTGGGGACCTGCCATCCGCTGAGAAAGGCCCCGGGTCCTGTCTGAGGCCCTGCCTCCCTCCATCCACCTAAGTGGAACCTTCCCGCCCACACGGCCGGCCTCTTCAGCCTGAGTGCCGAGTTGAGCAGAGGAACAGAGCACCACGTGGCTCCTGTGAAGGGCAGTGAGGGCCTCCTGGTTGCTGCTGCCTGAGACCCCCAGCAGGGGGCAGAACCGCTACCCAGCTGCTCACTACCCAGTGCTCGCTGCCCAGCTGCTCGCTGTCCGCTGCTCCTGGCGGTGCCAGGGCCACAGGCCGACCTCGCCACGCGGGACGGACGCGCCTCTACTGCTCTCTGGATAGAGTGGGGAGAGGGACCCCTGGGACCCGGGACCCACAGGGGCCCGTGTGGGAGGCTCAGCGAGAGGGTGCGGCCTCCACGGGCTGAGCCGGTGGCTCCTTCCGAAGCAGCGTGTCCTCCACACACAGTGGCCACGGCCACGGCCGTTCTGATGTGGCGTCCGGTGAATGTCTGTTTTCGATATAGAAGCCGTGAACGTCATTTGAAGAGGAAGGACGGGAGGAAAGAAGGACAGAGAGGAGGGAGGGAGGGCGGGAGCTGTGCCACCACCTGCAGGAGCAGAGGAATTGAGGGAGACTCAGGACGGAGGAACCCTGGGTCCACGGCCATGTGCTGGACGGCAGACTCGCCTAGGAGGCCGGGGACGGCAGGCACACGGGAAGACCCGCCGGCTCAGCAAGCCCGCACCTCCCCACGGCCTGGGCGTCGTCAGAGCCCCACGCGGGGAGAGACCCACGTGCTGTGGCACCGACGGGCGTGGACGTGGCAGAGGGGCAGCGTCGGGGGGCGGTGTGGGGTCCCACAGGGCAGGGCCTTTGGGGATATCGCTGCCGGAGGCTGACGGGAGGGAGGCTGAGAGGAGGCCCCGGCCCCACAGAGAGGAACTCTGCCCCCCTCTGCCCGCCAACAGCGAACAGCGAGCACAGGGAGCCGGTCATCACACCGACCGGCGAGCGGTTATGTCCACACTAAATACTCAACTCCGTCTGAGGAAGGCCACTCATTCAAACACGTTCTAGAATAAGAGACTGGATCTTGTAGACATTTAAGGAGAGAAAGCTCTCCGTCTGGAGGGGTCTGTGGTGTCAGGACGCCTGGTCCCCGAAGCACCTGCCAATCCCACTCCCCCCGGCCCCCTGCCCAGGGCCTCAGGGCCGGGCTGCTCACCGGTGTGGCTACGGATGTGCACGCGGAGCGTCCCGCTGCTGGCGAACTTCTGGCCGCAGTACGGGCAGGTCTTCTCCTTCTCCCCCGTGTGTGTCTGCACGGGGCAGGGGGTCCAGAGAGGTGAGTTAATCAGGGAGACGGCAGCGATGACCCAGTGCAAACCCTTTCTGCCTGGACGTGATTTACTGTTACATGAGACTTTCACCACGGCCACCGGCCTCCCAGCTGGCTCCAAACCCCCTCCGGTCGGCGCGTCCTCGGGGATTTGAAAACAACCCTGCGGGCGGGTGACCGTCCAGCCCCCAGCAGCCCCACTGGCGTACGGGCCGAGACGGAGCCCCCAGGCCGGGACGGGATGGAGCCCCCAGGCCAGGACGGAGCCCCAGGCCGGACGCGCCCCCCAGGCTCACCTTGCGGTGGCTGCGCAGCACGGAGGGCGTGACGAAGGCCTTGGCGCACAGCTCGCAGCGGTACTTCTTGTGCCGCTCGTGCACCACCTGCACGTGCACGTTCAGCGTGTCCTTCCGCTTGAAGGTCGCGTCGCAGTGGTGGCACTTGAAGGTCCTCTCGCCTTGGAAACAGGGTCACAGGAGAGGAACGTGAGGTGCCACGCGGGCCCTGCTGGCGGCCTTACACGCCAGCCGGCCTTGACCCCCATGGGCGGCCTTATAGCCCTGACCACGCACCCCAGCCATAGAGGGGAGCGGCCACAGTCAGCCTGGCTCCACGTTTGCAATCACTGCGTGGCAGGGAAGCCCTTTAGCTTTTCGTGCTCTCAGCCTCCGCACCTGGGAAATGTGGCACTGAATTCATTTCCTGAGCTCCCACCTGTTACGCCCAGATTTCGTGATCCCCAAAGACCACCAGAGCTGAGTCCGGTGCAAAAGCACAGAGCCTTTATTCGAGCTAGCCCGAGCTCAGTCCCACATACACAGGTGCAGCGGCGAGGTGGGGAGAGAGCGAGCTTCCACAGGACAAAGGGTTTTACGGGGTCTGGGTCAGGGGAGGGTCAGACCCGAGTTGGCTGACCCCAGTTGCAGATCAGGGTTTAACAGCTGGGACTTACAGCAGTTCTTACGGCACAAAGACAGGAAATGACTAACGCATTCCTGGGTCTGAGTTATGCCCTATTTCCCCGAAAATAAGACAGTGTCTTATATTAATTTCTTCTCCCAAAGTTGCACTAGGTCTTATTTTCAGGGGATGTATTATCTTTCCATGCGCTAGGTCTTATTTTCGGAGGATGTCTTATTTTCGGGGAAACACGGTTATGCCCTCCTGACTGGTCAAGGGTGGCGCACAAGGCCAGCATCGAGATCAGCACTAAGTGCACATGGGGCTGGCTCTTCAACAAAGGGAGGTTCTGCTGATAGCCTTGCTCTGCCCTTTCACCACCAACTGGTTTTAAAAGTCAGTTTCCAAGGGAGAGGAAATGGGTTGGAGACCCCTCATTTCGCCCCTTAATCCCACAGCTACCCACATGCCCTTAGGGTGGGGGTACAGGCAGGCCTGCTCCCTGGCACCAGCGGGGGGTGAGCTGCCTTCCCCTCCCTCCCGGGACGGGGCCCCGAACCCCGGCCGCCTCCGCAGGGCCTCTGAGAGCCGGTCTCAGGTATGTGGACGGAGGGAGCCTCAGTGTCCTCGGTGAGTGTGAAGCTGCTGGAGGAGGGTTCTGCTCAGGCTCTCAGACACTTTAGGGGCACAGGGGAGCCTAGAGGGGCAACTCCCGGCTTCTGCCCTAGCACCCCGGGCGCCTTCCTTCATCCATAGCCTTGGCTGCAGGGGAAGCCACTGAGGGAGCTCTGGGCCCTTTTTAAAGCTCATGGAGCGCCGCCTCTCAGCTCCTCCTGGCAGCGTGCCGGGCTCCCCGTGCCCATTTCCAACTCTCTAAGCCAGCGATTCTCAACCCTCCTGATGCTGTGACCCTTTAATACTTTCCTCATGTGGCGGTGACCCCAACCATAAGATTATTTCCATTGCCACTGTTAATGAATCGTAATGTAAATATCTGTGTTTTCCGACAGTCTTAGGCTCTACAGCAGCAGTTCTCAACCTGTGAGCTCACAACCCACAGGTTGAGAACCACTAGTAGGGTCGCCCAAGACCAAATATATTTTTTTAAAAATAAAACTTCAGCCTCAGCCCCAGCCTCCTGGTGCCTCCCTCAGAGCCAGCAAGGTCCACTCAGGCCGGCAAGGCCCTCGCACACCTCACAGCACATGTGAGGACAAAGAGGAGAGGGAGAGGGAAGAGGAGGGGGAGAGGGAAGAGGGGGGGAGAGAAGAGGGGGGGAGGGAAGAGGGGGGGAGAGGGAAGGGGGCGAGGCAGCTGGCTCCCTCTGTAATTCCTATCAGCGTGCCGGCCGCTGAGTTTCTCAGAGGCCTGGGAAAATGCGGTGTTTGAGACAAAGTCACGTGGGTGCCATGCAGGCGTCACGGGCCTGGGAGGATTCTGGGAGCTCTGTCTGCAGTTGCTTTGTGCATCTATGTGGTGGGTGATGCTGTAGGGACCTAGTGTGACTCTAAGTATCGCTTTAGATTTATCTGAACGTTTTTTTGTGTGTGTAACAGAGAACCAGGAGAGCAGAATGAAGGATGAGTTGACATGAGGTGACAAATGTTAATTATGCCAGATCTCAATCAGGAACTGAAAGAAATTAAAAACCAAATCCTCCAAGATCGCCCCTGCCCAAGCATTTTCATCAAACTGTCAAGAGAATGAAAACGAGAGATCCTGAGCAAAACCTCTCCACACAGCACCTCTCTCCTCGCATGTTAACCCCAGATTTCTTGGCCTTAAAGCGTATCAGAGTTTTCAAATCCCGGTGTGAGATTTTACTTGATTTTACCAGATTTCTTTGTCTTAAATTTATCCAATCCCCCCCCCACCCCCACCCCCTTTATAAAACCAAGGAGCTGGCTGGTAGCCTGCCTTTCGGCTTCCAGGATACTAGGAAATGGCGGTAACTTCCAAATCAATGATGGCACATTCTCCTCCTATCTTGAGCGGAGGTCTGAGCCCCCACCTCCACACGGTGAAGCTAGCCAGGTTCCACGTTTCCTGAGGTGTGGGACACGGTCTAGTGTTTTCTCCTCTGTTTGTACAGCTTCCAGCTTTCATCCTCCTTACATCACTCATTTCCTCGCTCAATCCCAGAGCCGATCTTTCTAACCACATATCCTGAGGCAGCTTCCTAACCCCCTGATCAACGTGCCAATCAAGGTTATATCAAACACACAGGCACAGCCCAGCCTCGGTCACCTCAGTCCTCTGCCTCAAATGGATCAGAACCAACAGGAGGAAGTCAAAAGTATCCGATTCCTTCTCCTGAGAATTCCTTGCTGGCCGGCGTGGCTCAGTGGTTGAGGGATGACCTGTGAACCAGGAGGTCACAGTTCAGTTCCGGTCATGGCACATGCCTGGGTTGTGGCCTCAATCCTCCGTGTGTGGGGCATGCAGGAGGCAGCCAGCCCATGATTCTCTCTGATCACTGATGTTTCTATCTCTCTCTCCCTTCTTCTCTGAAATCAATCAATCAAAAAAAACAAACAAAAAAAAAACCTAAAATAAATAAAACTTCATCCATCCAAAGAAAAATTTCCTGAGTATGAGCCACAGTTGCAAGTCCTCAGGGTATGAGCGAGGCTCCCTGGTTAAACCCTTGTTCTAAAACCGCTCCTCTCAGAACAGGGACCCTGTTCTGCCAATGACAGGGAGCCGGGATGGACACGCCTACTGTCCATGTGCTGTTCACGGGACGCACAGCTGCACCAGGAGGAGAACGGGGAGTCTGCTGAGAACTTCAAGCGCAGCGAGGGCCCCGAGGGCACGCGGTCACAGCCCACGCGTTCTATCATTGTCATCGTCACGCTCAGTTCTCATAAAAGCTTTCATATCTTTATCATTCTAATGTTTTCGATACGATCTTATCTGTGCCATCCGCTGTCGGGAATGAGCAATGGCTCTGCTTCCCTCGGAAATATGAGGGTGTGATCTGCAGAAGGAATTTCACCCATGGAGGATGTTTCACGGAGTAAACAACTTCAATTAAAAGCAAGGAGAGTGACTGGACTCGTCACGCCATTTCCTCCCGTTCTGGGTGTGGGGGGCCAGAGCCTCTGGGTCCCTAACACCCGACAGTGCACCTCCCTCGCCCCTCGGCTGCCTAACACATTCTCCGGGACAGAGGTGGCCTCAGCCACGTGGCTGTGTGTGCCGTGGTGCTCCCACACGCTCTCACGTGACGCCGAGCGCACTTCCTCGGATGGTGTGTCTAATACACAAAGGAAACAGCACCCACGCCAGGAAGGGAGTCGTGGGAGCAGCATGCTGAGCGGGAAGAGCGGACGCAGAGTGGACGCAAGGTGGGCTGCTCCCTGCACTGCGAGCCCCGTCCGTGCTGCCTTCCCTGCACCCCGATCCTCTCAGTTCCTCCATCCAGAGGTCACGTGGGATGTGAACTCTGACCTTCCCCAAGTGCAAAGGCCTGTGAGCTCCTGAAAACACCACCCCTCCATCCCCTCTGCCGTTCCCTTAGCCCTTCCGTGTGTGTTTCCTGGGAGGGCCGGCCCGGTGAGACTGGCGTGGATGTGAACCCTCCACCGTTCCTCCCATCAAACTCTAGAACATTCCGGCACCACGAGTGTAAATCGTTACATTTAAGAGGGACCGAAATGTCTGTTTTAGAACAAATTTCAAAGCGACCTCACAGGACATGGATATGTTTTCTAGACAAACTAGACAATGGTGTGAGCGATAGAAAATACACTGCCTCATGAAACGGTTGATCTTATCATGGGAAAACAACAGGGACGCGGGGAGAGGAGAGGCAGATTGCTGTTCTGTGTGCACAGCAGACAGCTCCTTGGGTTGTGCTCCTGGGCCTGCCCGGCCAGGGGGGTGGGGGGGGCAGGGAGGAGTAGGAGAAGTGCAAGGTCACCCCGCCGGGGCCCTGCCACCTGGCGGACTTACTGTTGTGGATGAGCAGGTGCCTGTGCAGGGAGAACGGGGTCCGGAACAGGGCCTTGCATTCCTCGCACTGGAACGGCCGCTCCTCGGAGTGTGTCTGTGGAGGAGAAACCGAGTCAGGAGGACACAGAGCCCTCACATCCTCATAGGAAACGAGGCTCGGGGACCAGGTGAGAAAGAGGGGAGACGGGAACGCAGCCAAGACCTGCTTCTCCTGGTGACCTCTGTCCATCCACACCACTCACACCAACAGGCTATGTGCGCGGGACACAAAAGTGTCTTTTCACATCCTCACACTGGTTAGATGTTTCACACGTGTTCATACGTGGTCCAGGAAACGGTGCCCATGACCACAAAACACCCCTCAGCATGCAACACGAGTTTCTTGGGTTCTCGTCCGACAGAGGAGTCATTTCTCGAGGCTGAAGCTCCTGGATCACCCAGGCTTCAACTGCAGGGCCAGCACCTCATCAGAAAGCGACTGGCGACCGTCTCCACCATCCCCCTTCCCTCCCCTGTCAATGACCACCTCCGGGGACCGGTCAGTCCTGGTGATGCTTCCCCGTTAAACCAGGAAGCCACTTGTTACCATTAACGCTCGGCATATGCATTCAATGTTCATTCTGTGTCACATGCGAACCACTTCCCATGAATTAGTTCCCTTCGTTCCAGCAGCAATTCAAGGAAGAACACTTTTTCTGTCCCCACATACAGATGAGAAGACCAAGGCTCCAGCAGTCTCAGTGATTTGCTAAATGCCAAATGGCACGGATGCGATACGCATCGTTACACATGGCAAACAAAACACCAGCAAACCGCCTGCCAGATCTGAAACTCAGAGCCAAAACCCCCGCCTCCCATCCTACACCAGTATGCGTCCATTGGGCACAGGCCAGTGGCTAAAACCCTGTCCCACCAGGGGGGCAGGTACCACCAGCACTCACAAGCCGCACTGCGCTCTTATTACGATAGGTAAATCACGTAACCAGTGGATTATTTTTATGGTGCACGTGCTATAAAGACAAAGGAAGGGTATGCTTTAGAGGAAGGTCACCATTCACAGCATGGTGACCGCACATCTCCTCAGTCTGCTGGACATTATAACCTACGGGAGGCCCGACCACGAGATCCGTGCACAGGTGAGGTCCCTGGGCCTGGCCGTGATCAGGACCGTCTTCCCCGCTGCCCGCAGCCGGCCCTGATGCCACACACCCAGGTTCCCCATTCACCATTGGGTGATTGGAGCCTGATGGTGGGGGGGGAAGGGACTACAAGGTGGTGAGTGAGCCTCACCGAGTGACTAGTCCACTGGTCATTCTGTCAATTTGCATATTACCCTTTTATTATATAGGATTATTATATAGGATAAACATAGTGTTGCTGAGAAAGGTATGATCGTGCCTGTTTCGGTTGTGAAAAATATAGAGAAAGGATGGGAAGAACAAATACTTCATTAAACAGGATAAACTACAGATATTCATATGTGCTATGTAAGTTTAAAATGGCCCTGGCTGGTGTGCTCAGTGGTTAGTGTGTCAGCCCACACACAGAAGGGTCATGGGTTTGATTCCCAGTCAAAAATCTCTGTAAGGCCCCAGCCCGTTTGGCCGAGTGGATAGAGCGCTGGCCTGTGGTCCGAAGGTGGCACAGAGTTCATTCTGATCAAGAGCATGTACCTCAGCTGCAGGCTCCTCCACGGCCCAGGCCCTGCTTGGGGCTCATGCAAGAGGCAACCAATTGACATGTTTCTCTCACATGGATATTTCACTCTGTCTTTCCCTCTCTCTTCCACTCTCCCTAAAAATCTATGAAAAAATATCCTCAGGTGAGGATGAACAACAAAATACCAATGGAAAAAATAAGTTAGGATTAACCAAACAAAAAACAAATCTAAAATGATAGGTGGAAATAAGAAGTAAATTAACAAAATAGAAAAAAGAATAGGTTTATTTTATTACAAAAAATATATGATCATTTAGTAATAGGAAAATATGGCATTTTGAATTGATAGCAAGACTGTAAAATGTTTAGCAAATGGTTTTTAGTCAACTTTATAGACATTCAGGGGGGAAAAAAAGTTTGATCTATTTCACACCCTTACAATAAGATAAATATCATCTCAATTGATGGGTTTTGTTTTCTTTTTACAATTTGGAATAAAACCTTAAACATACTATAAGAAAATACAGTGAATTTTAATATAATTTTGGTGCTAACTTCAGCAGCACATACACTAACATTGAAACAATAGGGGGTGGGGGCATGAGTGGGGGTGGGGTTGGGGGATTGGAATGGGGGATTGAGGACAAATATATGATACTTTAATTAATAAAGAAATTAATAAAAGAAAGAAAGACAGATGCTCAGGTGTGGGTCAAGCAAGCGGCTCTCAGTGAGGGTCTGAAGCCTGGGTTCAAACAGTGAATCCCTCGGGACTGGTCAGGTGGCAGAGGTCACAGGTGGGGCTGACCCAGGAGAGGAGCAGCCGGAGCTGCGGCCGGGCCGGGAGGGACGGGCGTGCGGAGAGCCTGGAGGCAGATGGGAGTGTAGAGGTGTCTGCACTGCAGGGGAGGGGATGTGGCAGGAACCATGAGCAGCCTGTCCTGTCCCACCCCAGAGGGAGGGGGAGGAGGGGGGGGGAAGCTGCTCAGAACAGAGGGCAGAGGACCCTCTGCGTGGGCGGAGACGAGGTCCCAGGCCATGGCCCAGCAAGGGTTCGGCCACAGCACCGTCTCCTCCGGCTGCTCCAGACACACAGACACACAGACACGGCTTCAGAGAAAGGACCGGAGATGGGGCAGCGTGAGGGGTCCACGGCCGCTCACCTTCTTGTGGTTCTTATAGACGTTCCGGAGGGCAAAGCCCTTGCCGCAGCGCCTGCACTTGTAGGGCTTGTCCTCGCTGTGGATGACCCGGTGCGCGCCCACCTGGTCCAGCCGCTTGAAGGTCTTGCTGCAGATCTCACAGCGGTAAGGCCGCGTCTCTGCGGGGAGGGGGGTGCAGACGCCTCAGCCAGGTCAGCGAAGGAGCACAGCCCCCCCCCGCCCCCCAGGACCCGCGTGGAAACGGCAATGAGACAGGTCGAAGCGCCGGGAGGGCCTCCACCTCGCCCGCCCGCGACGGGCTGTCCCCGGGAGGCAGAGCTGGCCCTCGGACCCGCTCTATACACGGGGCGTTCGGAGCAGCTCAGACACAATGATAATCAGAGTCCAAGAAGGAACCCATGTCCACGTGCAAACCTGCTCACAGGCGTGAGCTCCCGCCAGGACCACCTCGGCGCTGGGCGTGGCCTGCCTGTGACGGATGTGAAGGAAGAATGGACAGACCTGCCTCCTGCTGGCGGGGAGCCGGCCCAGGCCCCACCCTCCTCACACTGACACCGAGGGAGAGGAGCTGTCACCTCTCACCAAGTGCCTCGGAGGGCACCGTTCCCACCACTCAGCTCCATGTGACAGAACACCTGCCTACCTCCTGACGAGGCAGACACTCAGTGACACTGAGACGGCCTCACGGTACAGACTTCCCGAACTCGGGAAAGGGACTCCACAGAGCACAAGTCACCCTCAGAGCTGGTTTTCTAAACATCCGTGGTGCAGACCTACTCCTGACGCAGACGTGCTCATCCTGAAACTGTGGCTTTAAAAGCGAACCTTCTCGAAATGGACAGAAACACCTCGCTACCGTCTACCGGGTCCTCGGTGAGACAGGACAGCACCTCGCGATGCAGGGGCGGCCACCGCTGCCCTGGTCCCCAGGGTCAGGCCTCCAACGTCCCGCACAGAAACCAGCTCAGTGACCTGCCGGCAGCTGTGCAGCGTCCGAGCCAGCATCCCAAGTCACAGAGGAGAACACAGAGACTGCGGCTCCAGCAGACCGAGGAGCAAACTAAAGGGGGGCCTGGGAGATCCTCGGAGCCATTCAGACCAGCCACCCCAGCTCCGCAGACAGGCTGAGGTCCGAGAGGATAAGTACCTTGCCCAGAACCGCACGGCTAGTGATGGCTGTGCCACAACCACCAGCCAGGCCTTCGGCCGCCCTCTCCGCGCTCCTGAGAGTGATGAGGCCACATCCGTGTGATTCCAATGGAGAGTGAAAAGCACGCATTTTACCTGAGTGGGTGATCATGTGGCGTTTCAGCTGGTTCGCCGAAATGAATTTCTTCATACACTCCTGACAATTAAATATCTCATGGACCTGCAAAGGTTAAATTGATGGTTAAATCAACTGTCAAAGCCATACACATTGTATAGAGCTTAAATAAATGTATAAACATGCAGAAGTTGCTATGGCAATAACCAAACTATCTCTCTGTATAAAAACCTAAGTGACCATCGCAACCAAATGGATGACCGAACAGGCTGCGAGGGGCAATCAGGCAGGCAGGGCGTGGGAGCCGTAAGGGGTGGCCAGACCAGAGTGAGGGCAGTTAGAGGCAATCAGACTGGCAGGGGGTGGGGGCAGTTGAGGGTAACCAGGCTGGAAGGGGGGCAGTTAGGGGTGATTGGCAGGCAGGCAGGTGAGCAGTTAGAAGCCAGTGGTCCCAGATTGTGAAAGGGATGTCCCCAAAGGTTCCTGGATTGGAGAGAATGCAGGCTGGTCTGAGGGGTAACCCCGCCCCCACATGCACAAATTTTGTACACAGGGCCTCTAGTATATTATAAGTATATTATAATTCAACCCTAATCTGTTCCTTCTATCCTACGTGTATTAAAATTGCAATAAGCCTAAGTTAATAGTAAACACATCATTAAAAGAAATTAAGATTGCACACTGCTGACCTAGCTAGTGCAAATTAATGTGACCCTTTCTGTAAAGCATCACACAAGTATGCTATAATAGCGGAGCCGCTGGGCCTGCCAGAGAGGAAAGTCACGGGAAGTCCTGACCGGGCACGGAGGGCAGTGTGCAGTGAGCATGAGGGCAAGGCCGTTGTCTCCCGGTGAATGGCTCCCTTGGGCTCAGTGGCCCTAAAAAGAGGGGGCAAGTGGGGACACAGAACCCAGGTCTGCAATCTTGGCCCAGCGAACGGCAGGTCAGAGGCTGGCAGCCACTTTCCGCTTTGGTCAGAGCTGACTCCTGGTGAGTTGGCAAAGGCAGTTGTGAAAAGAAGGGAAAGGGGAGAGAAACAAGTAGAAGCAGGAGACATGGTCCCACTTGGCTGACGTGGCTCCCTGGGTGCAGGGCACCTAATCTGATCAGGAGGTGGGTGGGTTCGGAGCTGCAGGTCCCTCAGAATACCAGGCGGGCTGCACAGCACACCCACGGCGAGGGCCACATGGTGCCGAGAGACCCTGCCAGGGCCTCTGGAAGGCAGTCCTTCCGCCACCGAGGCCCACCCAGAGCAGGGCTATGGCACGCACTGTCTATTCAAGATGGTAAGTGCAGGCTCATATTCCTAAACGATGTTTCTGTGACACATGAATAATGCCCTTTATAATGCCTTCTCAGCCGCACATAAATGAAATCACATTTATTTTCATTTTTAATGCTAAACTTTTACTAGGATATACAGCATAAAAATGATCAATGCATTTATACCATGGAAACTTAAAAATACTGCAGAATAATCATATTTGTAAACTTGTAACTCCCGTGGCTTCTGAATCATGAAACAATTTTAAAGGTTGAATTGAACTGATATTACCCCAAGTATAAAACAGAGCACTTACTGTGTGTGAAAGCAGTTTTGTATTAAATAGCTTACTTATAGTGGAAAATTCAGGGTAAAGCTATTTTCACAACTCTTAAAATGGTCTAGTAAAACAACCAGATTTAAAGTGAAAATGATAAGTAATGCTATTTATTTATGCCTAATACTAAGTAATGTTCATAAATGTCCAATGAAACGGAGGGTAATAACACTAATTTCAACCCCAAACTAAATAATTTTCAAGAAGGATCACAGCCTGGCTGGCATGGCCCAGTGGTTGAGTGTTGACCTAAAAACCAGGAGGTCACAGTTCGATTCCCGGTCAGGGCACAGGCCCAGGTTGGGGGCTCCATCCCCAGTGTAGGGCCTGCAGGAGGCAGCTGATCAATGATTCCTTATTGTTACTGATGTTTCTGTCTTTCTCTTCCTCTCCCCTTGTGACATCAATTAAATATATTTTAAAAAGAGGTTTGCAGTGCATCTTACTGGAATGTAGGACAGTATATAGTAACGTAGGCTATTACACTATATGAAAATATAATCCTGCTTCCTCTTCTTCAAGCACCACCTACTAGCAATGTGAAATACTGAGCCAACCTCTGTGAGACAGTAATGTCCCCAGCCACGGGGAGTGGTCACAGCTGCCTTGGCTTCACAAAGGCTAAGTCAGGGGCACGGAGTGGCCGTGGAGCCAATGCCACCCTGCGCTCGTCGGTGACACTAACATCCCGCAGAGACAGTGTGGGCGCTGTTCTCCACCACCAGCAGGAGGCTCGAGATCTACCGAGACCCGGACACACAGCAAGGACCATGCTTGCAGGGGAAGGAACTATTCAGCAAATGGCTCCACTGATTCTGAGCAATCACTCAGGATAGTCTTTGGGAATGGTTACTCTTCTCCATCTCCGTTTTTCTTTTTAAAATGTTTGTACTGAGATTAATGGCAATATAAAAAAAATCAACATAAATGTACGTGGCAGACACCATACATGACAAAAAAAAATCGCACGCTCCGATGGGCATCACCTGTATCCACTGACCTTCCTGTGCTCCTGCAGGCTGGCCGCTGAAGAACACTTCTTATTGCACACGGAACAGACGAGCTTTTTCTTAGGGTCTCCTAGAACAGACACAGAACGCCACCGAGAACTAAAGGAGGGGCGTTGGAAGGAGAGTTTACCCCGCCATCAGGAGCATCCAACAGCATCTGCCGTCCTGACCCAAACAGCCAGCCACCCCGTGGCACATGCTGGCCGGTCCTCTCTCCGATGCGGGAGGAGAAGCCTTAGGAGCGGAATCTCCTGTGAGGACAGGAAGGCAGAGGGACTCGGGCGGAAAGCAGCAATTCTGCCAACGTGGACTCAGAAAAGAGACGGTGTCGGGGGGGGGGGGAGCGCCGAGCTGCACACGCGTGGAGGGAGGGCCGCTGTCCACCCCACAGGGACAGACAGAGGGCTGCAGACAGACAGATGGACAGAGGGCTGCAGACAGACAGACAGACAGGGGGCTGCAGACAGACGAACAGACAGACAGAAGGCTGCAGACAGACGAACAGATAAACAGAGAGCTGCAGACAGACAGAAACAGAGACTGCAGACAGACAGACAGATAGACAGAGGGCTGCAGACAGACAGATGGACAGAGGGCTGCAGACAGACAGACAGAGGCTGCAGACAGACAGACAGAGGGCTGCAGACAGACAGATGGACAGAGGGCTGCAGACAGACAGAGACTGCAGACAGACAGACAGGGGGCTGCAGACAGATGGACAGACAGACAGAAGGCTGCAGACAGACGGACAGATAAACAGAGAGCTGCAGACAGACAGAAACAGAGACTGCAGACAGACAGACAGATAGACAGAGGGCTGCAGACAGACAGATGGACAGAGACTGCAGACAGACAGAGACTGCAGACAGGGCTGCAGACAGACAACAGAGGGCTGCGGACAGACAGACAGGACTGTGGACAGACAGACAGGGCTGCGGACAGACAGACAGAGGGCTGCAGACAGACAGACAGAGGGCTGGAGACAGACAGATGGACAGAGGGCTGCAGACAGACAGAGACTGCAGACAGACAGACAGGGGGCTGCAGACAGATGGACAGACAGACAGAAGGCTGCAGACAGACGGACAGATAAACAGAGAGCTGCAGACAGACAGAAACAGAGACTGCAGACAGACAGACAGATAGACAGAGGGCTGCAGACAGACAGATGGACAGAGATTGCAGACAGACAGAGACTGCAGACAGGGCTGCAGACAGACAACAGAGGGCTGCGGACAGACAGTCAGGGCTGCGGACAGACAGACAGGGCTGCGGACAGACAGACAGAGGGCTGCGGACAGACAGACAGCTGGGCCAGGAGGCCGCTGTCACAGCCCCTGCAGGACTCACCCGCGTGAACGTTCTCCTGGTGCCTCCTCAGGGCCTCCCGGCTCTTGAGCCTCTTCCCGCAGCTGCCGGCCTTGCACAGGAACCTGGCTTTGCTCCTGCAGGCCGCCTGGTGCTGCTCGCAGCTGCGGGGGGGGGGGGGGGGGGGTGGGCAGGAGGCTTTGGAGCTTGTGTCCCACCGCCACCCCCAGCTCAGGGTCAGCGTGCCACCCGCTCCGCTCGGGGTCAGCGCCTGTGTTACAGGGCGGACAGGGACAGCATGTCGGCCTGTGGCCGGAGCTGAAGCACGGACAGGCCCAAAGCGTCACTCCACAGGGACCCAGGGACCCAGCCCAGCGGCCTCTGCTCCCCACACACCTGGGCGCCGAGCTGAAGGGCGCACTGCAGACGGAGCACTGGAAGCTGCCGGGGGAGGAGTCCTTCAGGCTGCCCCTGGCCGGGCACTGGAGAGCACTGAGGGGGAGAGGGAGGACGGGGAACAAGATGACGAGAATGGGTCTGCTCTGCACGGCCAGCAGCTCTCCCTCTCGCCTCACGATTGGGAGGCGTCCCGAGTGTGACTGTCAGAGCCGGCTCAGGTGTGGAATCCTGTAAGGGCTGGGGGGAACGCAGTGCTAACCTCTGCTGAAAGTGTGCAGCCAGTGTGTGTGTGTGTGTGTGTGTGTGTGTGTGTGTGTGTGTGTAAGAGCCTCTAATGGAATTTCCAAATGATTAATCTCTTGTTATTGTAAAAATTTAGCGTAAATGTAAGTTTTAAGTGTTGGGCAGAAATCCTCATCTCAGGTTTCAGGAGCCGTCGTGGATGTGTGACCATCGGGGATGACCGAGGATCGGGTCGCTTTCGGAATTTCCTCAGTGAACGAGCGGATAAAACCCTGAGCCTCTGCTGAGTGCTTGCTCACGTGCCAATGCTGTTCTGTTCAAAATAAACGTTCCCAGATACACGCACCCACGTCCTCCCTGCTGGTGATCCCGGTCCCGTCCAACGCTGACGTGAAAGAACAAGCTCGCGGGCTGTTCACTATGAACCAGGGACAGAGGGTGCGGAGCGCTGGGCGGACCAGTCACGCCATCCCAGCGTCACGCCCTCGCCCATTCCCAGGAGGGATCCTCACGGTGGCGGGGACCTGAGCTGCCTCCGCACAGTCCCTGCCTGCGTGACGCCCTGAGCTCTCTGTGTCTCACACTCCTGGCCCTGGCGTCGGCAGGAACATCACAGACCACTGAGCGTGACCCGTCACCTCCACGCCACGCACCAGCTACGATGTGCGAGTCTGAGCTCCGATGAACAAGCGCACGAGCTGGGAGTGGCTGGCACGTGAGCAAACGGACAAGCCTGGTTTGCACAAGCAACTCTGGAGGGCTCTGACCTCCCCATGCCCGTGTCTGCCTCTCTCTCTCTCTCTCTCTCTCTCTCTCTCTCTCACACACACACACACACTTGGAGCCGGGTCCTGGGCTGCACTCCCATACGCACTGTTGCTGCAGGGCCTGCCGCACGGGGAAGGTCTTCACACACACACACACACACACACACTCTCTCTCTCTCTCTCACACACACGCACATGCACACGCACACACAGAGCCAGGGTCTCACATACACACACACACACACACACACACACACTCTCTCTCTCTCTCTCTCTCTCTCTCTCACACACACACACACACTCTCTCTCTCTCTCTCTCTCTCTCTCTCTCTCTCTCTCTCACACACACACACACACACAAACACACACTCTCTTTCTCTCCCTCTCTCTCTCTCTCTCTCTCACACACACACACTCTCTCTCTTCTCTCTCTCTCTCTCTGTCTCTCTCTCTCACACACACACACACACACACACTCTCTCTTCTCTCTCTCTCTCTCTCTCACACACACACACACACACACTCTCTCTCTCCTCTCTCTGTCTCTCTCTCTCTCACACACACACACACACACACACACTCTCTCTCTCTCCTCTCTCTCTCTCTCTCTCACACACACACACACACACACACACACACACACACACTCTTTCTCTCTCTCTCTCTCTCACACACACACACACACACACACTCTTTCTCTCTCTCTCTCTCTCTCTCACACACACACACACACACACACACACTCTCTCTCACACACACACACACACACACACACACACACACACACACACACACACACGCGCACGGGGAGCCGGGTCCCGGGGTGGTGTGGGCTGCGCTCCTGTACGCACTGTCGCTGCAGGGCCTGCCGCACGGGGAAGGTCTTCCCGCAGGGCTTGCACTTGAACTCCTTGTCCCCGTCGGGCGTGCGGTGCAGCGTGTGCAGGTGCTCGGCCAGGACCTCCGCGCTGGGGAAGCTGGACTCGCACTGGGGGCATGTGTGGTCCTCGCCGCAGCCACGGCAGCCTGCGGTCACAGGGAGAAGGAGAAGAGCTGCTCAGGTCGCCCACATTTTATTTTATTTTATTTTTATTAAATATATTTTATTGATTTTCCACTGAGAAGAAGGGAGAGGGATAGAGAGTTAGAAACATCGATGAGAGAGAAACATCAACCAGCTGCCTCCTGCACACTCCCCACGGGGGATGTGCCCACAACCAAGGTACATGCCCTTGACTGGAATGGAACCCGACGCTCCATCCACTGAGCCACACCGGCTTCGGCAGGTCAGCCCGCATTTTAAAACCACATCAGCCGTGCTTCCTGGTCTCGGATCTGAACATTCCTCTCACCTCTGTGAACGGGAACTGTGCTACCCATGAAAAATAATAGGAAGTGTGACTAGAGGGAAAGACATTGTTTTTTTTAGATAATTTCACTTGTGCTGTACCAGTTATTACAAAATCACGCTTCATTTCCCCTGCAATGCTAACTGTTCACGGCAAGGAGCTGGTGTTCCGGTACAGAGGGGTCACCTTGAGCTCACGTTTAGCTGCAAGAGAGGCCGTCCAGCTGAGGAAGAGGATGCTGCTCCTCAGGAGGAATGTCAGTCCATGCGACAGGCCCTGAGAGCAGGCGAGGGAGACCCCATGGCCGCCGGCCAGCCTGCCCACCACTGCAACTCTGCCCGAGCATGTATTTAACTCACATACCGTCTCTGATTACCCACAAGCTCACATGGAGAAAATGCAGAAAGTCTGAAGAAAATAAAATTCACCAACCACCAGGCAGGGAGAGACAAGCCCTCCGTCCATTTCTGACTGGTTTTGTGCTTTCGTATTCCACACTCAGCCTAGAAAGAGCTACAAGTACAAGTACAATCATACTTTGTATGCAATGTTATGTGTTGCTCTTTTTTTCCATTTAACATGGAAAAGTAAAAAAAAAAAAAAAAAAAAAAAGAATGGTTTAAAGTGAAGGTTCCATAATTTGTTTAGCAAAGCTCTTCATTGCTAGGCATATGGGCAGTCTCCTTTCTTCTCTTTATCTTTTACTACAGGCCGGTGCACAGAATCCGTGCACGGGTGGGGTCCCTAGGCCAGGCCAGCGACCAGGGCTGGTCTGTGGGACGGCTGGCGGGGTGATCAAGTGCCCCCCACTGGCACCTGCCTTGGCTGGCCTGGAGCCTGTGGGCTGGGGCCAGCTCCTGCATTGGTCACCTGCCCCCGGTGGTCAGTGTGCATCACAGCAACCAGTTATTCCACTGGTTGATTTGCATATTGGGCTTTTATGATATAGGATTTTTTTTTTAAACTTACCCAAGGATATTTTTTTCATTGGTTTTTATAGAGAGTGAAAGGAGGGAGAGAAGGAGGGAAAGAGAGAAACTTCGATGTGAGAGAAACACAATGACCGGCTGCCTCCCATGCGTGCCCTGAGTGGCCCAGGATCCAACTGCCACCCCGGTAAGTGCCAATGACCAGGAATTGAACCCTCTACCCTTGGATGCATGGACCAGTGCACTGAGCTACAGCGGTCAGGGCAGCTTCTGTTATTTCTTGGTTGGTTGTTTTGGTTTGGGTTTGGAGTTTTGTTCTAAATAAAAACAGCAATGAAATAAGTACTTAATTCCTATGTTTTAAAATCTACTAATTTTGATTTTTTTTTTCCACAAAAATCACGGCAATTGCTATTTTGTTAGCTAAAGAACAATAGGGGCGGTGAAGTGGAAGTAGGAGGCGTACTTAAGCAATGGGAACAATCACAGCACGTCCGGGACAAGGCGGGTAATGTCGCAGGGACTCGCCAGGTCACAAGGCAGGCGCAGGGCTGGCGCTGAAGTCCTCCCTCCTGCTCCCCCGTGCACCTCGGAGAGCAGGGCGTCCGTGACCTTGGCCATGACGCAGGGCACACTGTCACCACGCCCAGCAGAACGCTGGGCACACGGCTGCAGTGCTGGCAAAGCTAACTCGGTTCTGCAGCCGTCACTCGCCAGCCCTGCTTCCCCCCACTCCCGCTGGCCGGGTCAGAGGAGAGCGTACCTGTCCTGCCGGGTGCAGACTCCCCGGGAGTGAGGGGGCCGCCCCCGTCCGGGGCCGTCAGCTCCTCCTCGTCCGCCTCCATGTCGCTGTCCAGGTAGCCGATGAGCAGCTCCGTGTCCGACTCAATGTCATCAACCGCCAAGTAGAAGATGTTCTCTCCTTCCTGTCGTGCGATAGAAAGGAACCGGGGACTCCACCGGGAACTGAGAAACCACTGCAGAGGCCCTGGGGGCGTGCACCCTGAAATGTGACTAACTTTTTTTTTTTTTTAAATATATTTTATTGATTTTTCACAGAGAGGAAGAGAGAGGGATAGAGAGTTAGAAACATCGATGAGAGAGAACCATCGATCAGTAGCCTCTTGCACACCCCCTACTGGGAATGTGCCCTCAACCAAGGTACATACCCTTGACCGGAATCGAACCTGGGACCTTTCAGTCCACAGGCCGATGCTCTATCCACTGAGTCACACAGATTTCAGCTATTACTGACTTTACATGTCCAGTTAATCTGGACACGGAAGAGGGAAGCTGACACTATCTCGTCAACTTCACATAAAACACACACATCTGTTATAGACAGTGACGTTTACAGACATCGGATAAAACGGGTAATTATTTAATCTTCTAACAGTGAACAGCGCTCAGCGATCGGCCTGTTGGGCCGCCCCGAGGCTGTGACTGCAGCAGGAAGGACCATGCTGAGTGACATGCCGCCCCTGCATCCAGGCTGGGAGCCACAGTGTGCCAATGGAGCCATTGCGAATAACATTCGATGCAAAGAGGCAAGAAAAATGAACGCTAGGATTTCAGCACAAACCAGGCCCGAAACCAAAGCGCTGGACCAGACACAGGAAAAAGGCATGGCACCCGGGCCTTTGTAGCTTCCTGGAGCCCCCGTAGCTCCCAAACCCCCTCAGGGCAGAGGGCGGGAAAGCAAGTCTCACCGCACCCAAAAGCTTTCCGGAAAGTTCCCAAAGACAGAAGCCAATGGGCTAAAGGATGGCTAAGCACCGCAAGAGAACTCTCAGCCCCTAGTGGACGGAGGCGGGAGGATGGGAGGCCACAGAACCCCAGGCACAGGCACGCTGGCCATCGGTGGGGCATGAAGCCTGCTGCCTGGGCAGCTGTGGGCGGACCTGTCCGGGGTGGGCTCCTGGCGTGGCTGCTGAGGGTGGAGAGACGCAAAGCCAGCCTGGGCCTCCTGGAGCCTGAGGGAGGCCGGGGGGAAGAAACAAGGACGAAACGCCCCACAGGAGTGGGATCCGCTGAGCCCAGCAGAGAACAAGCCTCCCCTCTGGGGCCCAGGGCTCATGGTGAGACGGGGTTGGGGGTGGGGGAGGCAGGAGTGTGGACACACGTGCATGTGTGTATGTAGACACAAGAAAGATGGGGAAAATATGCATCCAGCCGTTCACAGTCCTCGTGTTTGGTTGGGAGAAGGGGAGTCCATATTCAATGCTCTTTTAGATTTTTCCTCCACAAACAGGTTACTTTGTAATTTTAAACACAAAATGTATTAGAAAAATGCCTTGGAAGGGGGAAAGGATGGTTGTGCTCATCAGATACCACACACGGGAGCCTGGGTTCAAAGGTCAAAGCCGGAGCGAACCTGACCCCGGCCACGGCTCCCGGAAGGCGCCCACAGGACTGGAGGTTCCCCGGAGGTCTGGGGCCGTGCCCCAGGAACCTAACGGTGAGGTCTGATCGCGGACCCCGAACCCGCTCCCACACACATCACCGTGCGTGCAGCTACACCGGCACATGCCAACGCGAACACGCAGCCGAGCGGCCCGTGTCCAATTCACGCCCAGCAGCCTGAGTCTCAGTCTTATCTCATCAGCACCCACGAACGCTCGTTAGTTAAATGTCCGGCGAGCACATTAGTCATTAGCAGCGCCAGGAAAGATAGCGATTTTTAATTTTGAAGATGAAGCACGGACTGAAACGGGCCACCAGACACAGCCTGCCCGCCCGGGGCTCTTAGAGCAAATCTGAGCGTGGCAGGAAACGCCAGGTTCATTAGCAATGGCAGCGCCGCAGCTCAACCGCGCAGGTCCTCCCGCAGCCACGGCCGGAGGCGGCAGGTCCTCCCGGAGCCACGGCAGGTCCTCCCGGAGCCACGGCCCGGAGGCGGCAGGTCCTCCCGCAGCCACGGCAGGTCCTCCCGCAGCCACGGCCCGGGGGGCGGCAGGTCTTCCCGCAGCCACGGCAGGTCCTCCCAGAGCCACGGCCCGGAGGCGGCAGGTCCTCCCGCAGCCACGGCCCGGAGGCGGCAGGTCCTCCCGGAGCCACGGCCCGGAGGCGGCAGGTCCTCCCGCAGCCACGGCAGGTCCTCCCGCAGCCACGGCCCGGGGGGCGGCAGGTCTTCCCGCAGCCACGGCAGGTCCTCCCAGAGCCACGGCCGGAGGCGGCAGGTCCTCCCGGAGCCACGGCAGGTCCTCCCGGAGCCACGGCCCGGAGGCGGCAGGTCCTCCCGCAGCCACGGCCCGGGGGGCGGCAGGTCTTCCCGCAGCCACGGCAGGTCCTCCCAGAGCCACGGCCGGAGGCGGCAGGTCCTCCCGGAGCCACGGCAGGTCCTCCCGGAGCCACGGCCCAGAGGCGGCAGGTCCTCCCGCAGCCACGGCAGGTCCTCCCGCAGCCACGGCCCGGAGGCGGCAGGTCCTCCCGGAGCCACAGCCCGGAGGCGGCAGGTCCTCCCGCAGCCACGGCCCGGAGGCGGCAGGTCCTCCCGCAGCCACGGCCCGGAGGCGGCAGGTCCTCCCGCAGCCACGGCCCGGGGGGCGGTAGGTCCTCCCGCAGCCACGGCAGGTCTTCCCGCAGCCACGGCCCGGAGGCGGCAGGTCCTCCCGCAGCCACGGCCCGGAGGCGGCAGGTCCTCCCGGAGCCACCAGGAGGCGGCAGTCCCTCCGCGGTGACTCCAGCCCGTTCCCTTCAGGGAGCTGTCTGACAGCTTCTCCACCGCAGCTGCCACAAGCTCTTCTTCTCACTGGCTGCCCAGCAGCTTGATGGCTCCCTTGCCTACAGTGAAGGGGGTGATCCCTCCACCACCATCATGGCTTTCTCCTCCTTGTGCAGGGCCTCCTGGGGCACCTGCCAGAGGCCTGGCCTCTGGGCACCGGTGATTTCCACACCCGCTGCCTCCTTCCGGCCCCCGCTGGCCATTGGCAAGAAAGAACAAGGCGCGATGGCCCGCCTCCGCCTCAGCAGCACCTCCCTGCCGGCCTCAGCCTGGCCACTCACTCCCTGAAGACCCCACGTTCACTGGATCTCAGCCGCCTCCGGTTACTGGGGTCACTGAGGTCGCTGGGGTCGCTGGCCCTGCCCTGCACATGGTCCCTCCCTCCGTACAGTCCCTCCTGTGTGGCACCTCTCGGGCTGGCCGCCTCCCGGTACTGCTGGTTTCCTGTCACCGGCCTGGGGTGATTCCGCTGAACATGCTTTCTCTGAAAACTCTATGTTGCTCGTTATACCAAAAAGGCACAAGAGCTTGCCCAAAGGGCTTGGCTCAGTGGTAGAGTGTCAACCTAGGAACCAGGAGGTCTCGGTTCGATTCTCAGTCAAGGGCATGTCATCGGCTGCAGGCCTGATCCCCACGAGGGGACATGAAGGAGGCATCATCTAAAGTTTCTCTCTCATCACTGACGTTTCTCTCTCTCTCCCTCTCTCTCTCTCTCTCTGCATAAGAATCTGGCTACTCAGTGTGTATACATATATTAGAGACCCGGTGCATGAATCCGTGCATGGGTGGGATCCAGCCAGCCTGGCCAGGGGGAGGGGACATGGGCGGTTGGCTGGCCTCCCTGCTGGTCGAACTCCTGGTCGAGGGGACAATTTGCATATTAGCCTTTTATTATATAGGATATACACTGAGTGGCCAGATTATTATGCATTCAGAGATCATCATAATCTGACCACTCAGTGTGTATATATTTTAAAGTTAAAACAGCTTAAATGTCCAACGATGTAAGTTAGAAAGACAAAATGTCTAACAATTGGTTTTAGAATATTTATTAAATGTAATATTTATGGAAAAGCTGTATACTATATATATATATATATATATATATATATATATATATATATATCCCCTCACGGCCTCTGCCAGTAGTGCTGGCAGGCTCCTGCCCCTCTGCAGCCCCGGCTTGGGGCTCTCAGCACGCAGAGCCGCCCTGTCCCCAGAGAGGCCTCCTGTGGCTCAGCAAGTGGACCCTGCAGCCTGAACCGCGTGGTCCTGGCGTCCCAATGGCCTTCAGGTGACCCTGCCTCCCGTGCCGTCCGCCCACTCACAGCCCAGGCGCATGCGGTCACAGAGGCACCGCTGTAAGCCTTCGGCTCTGACCCTGCTCCGTGACGCCCTCTGACCCCCTAAACCCATGTGGTGCTTCAGAGAAGCTTGCGCGGCCTCAACTCCAGCTGGAGCGATCGTGGATTCCTGTGCTCTGTCATGCCGTTCATGTGACCAGAAGCATCGCTCACGTCCCAGAAGGTGATGTCCTGGGGCAGGGAACAGCGTGCCCATCGCCCCACAGCAGAAGCCACCCCCGTGCCCGCCGCTCAGAGGGGTCAGGAAGATGAGCCATGAACACGGAACTGGAGTGCCAGCCCATCAGGACACACGCTCAGTAAGATCCCCTTGGAGCTTACAGCTGGGAGCCTGGGGCCATCGGCCGCTGGGTAGGGCTGCCACAGGGAACGGAGAAGGCGCTGAGCGGTAACAGATTCGTGCCGGAAGAGGAAGTGCCCACTTTCTGACAGTGTATGTGGGTGTGAGCGAAGGGGCGAGTCAGGACAGGCCCAGGGGACGCATCCACTCGAGCGTTCACAGAACTCCAGTTCAAACGCTCGCCCTCCGAAGACAAGCCCACCCCTCGCTGGACATAACCCCTTAACACACAGATGGGCCAGCTCCTGACGGATGTGTGAGGGTGCGATGGGAGAAAATACGTGGCCCTGGCCCCTCACTATTTTATAACAGACAGCCTGGAAAATATTGTAGAAATTCACTTGTGTGAATCTGATAAGAAACAAACAGAAAAAAGCAATTGGAGGAACTACAATGTGGGCTGTCCCGTATTCCTTTCTGCTGGCTGGCTGCTTGGCTGTGTCGGAACCACTGTCCCCTGGACTCTGCGTCAGCGCGAGCAACCCGCCAGCACCCAGGGCTGATGGCACAGGAGACGGTCCTATCAGGCTCACTGCGTCCACACCGCTGCCGTTTGGAGACAGTCTCCCCGGCTCTGCCATGCGAAGGCTCTGGGAACGCCGCCGGAGTCTCTTCTCGCACTGGCAGAGCCCGGAGGGCAGCTGCTAAGTAATCGAGTCTATCTCCCAGTTACGGGGACCCCATCCGACTTCAGAACTGGGGGGGAGCCGTGTCGATACCACACACTCAGCTCAAGGCCCGGTGCACTCTAGCCTCCCTCAGGCCATCCCTGACCCCGGGAGGAGAGCAGACCCGGCCGGGACTCCCGAGGCGGCTCTTTGGAGAACACCCAGCGCCTTTCATTTACGTCGGTCCCGGAGGATGAAGGAAACCACATCTCAGAGAGCATGAGAGGTAACATTTCTCTGCGATGTCCAAGGAATTCCAAGTGCCAACGTGAAGTGACCTCATTCTGTACTTCAACAAAGAGTTTTCTACCACAAAAACTTTTTGAAAGCTTGCAAAAACACTGAGGTCAACTAATTTTTCAAGTATTATATATACATGTCTCCCCCTCGGTGCTACAAAACTAACAGCTAAAAATCGCCGGTTTCTCGTAGAGCTTTAGGATTCCTTTGGTTCATTTTAAGCCACATCTTTCATATTCAGAATTCTGTGGCTTACTGGGACATGGTTTTCAGAAGTCTGAACAAACAGTTCCCCTAAATTACTCTGAAATGTGTGCCTGTGGAAAGAACTATTTGCCTACACGATCCGTCTTCAATAACTCAGATATTTTAAACCATCATTTCCAAAGCAATTTTTCCAAAAATTCCAATAAATTACAAAATGAGAAATATAATCGAATCTCCACAAAAAAGTTCCAATCCTCCGTGAAAACAGACCTCGGATTCGTAATCGCTCATCCAAGAAAATTGGACCAAGTACTGACGTTTCCCACCACAAAAGCCACAAACGGTTCTTATTTACGCCACTCCAGAGACGTACAGCTCAAATAAAAAATTTCCCGAGTGCCCCCAAGTCTCAGATGCAATTTGGAGTGTCGGGGATTCATAATGTTATGCAGGACATGGGCGATCTCCTCTTACCACATCCCTGTTTCTGGCATGCACTCCCCAGGAGGCCGCCCCTACCCACCGGGACGCTGGCCACCATCAGCCATGGGACCCCAGCTTCCCGCTCTCCGCCCCCAGGGCGGGTGCGAATTTGAGCCCGGAGGGATCTGGCGCTCCAGCTACTGTTCAGGCAGGAAAACGCCACCTAGGGAGCAAATCCAGATGCACAGATGCAGAGTCTAATTGGGCTTAGGTGTGAAGTGTCCCAGAGCCGCTGGCCGGTCTGCGTCGCATTCTGACCCGCCCACCTTGTTAGGGTGCGTGGTCCCCTCCTGGAGCACGGACAGTGGGAGGGTTGGCTTCTGTAGATCCTGTTTCCTCCGAGAAAAGAAACACCACTGATACAGAGGAAGAAAAGCACTACCGGATGCACGGAACAGACCGGGGCATGGTGTCGATCTGGAAAGCCGCGGTTACTCACAGAGAGACCTGCCATGGCCCGGTCTCCGTTGGTCTCAGTGGCTCAGCTGGTTGGAGCATCATCCGTACATCAAAAGGTTGTGGATTCGATTCCCACGCAGGGCACATACCCACTAGGTTGGGGGTTTGATTCCCCAGTTAGGGCACATATACTGGAGGCAACTGATAGATGTTTCTGTCTCACATCTATATTTCTCTCTCTCCCTTCCTCTCTTTCTAAACTTAATGAGTAAATCCTCAGGTGAGGATTTAAAAATAATATATATATATATATATATATATATATATATATATATATATATATATAAAGAGAGAGATCTGTAGGATAACAAGAGCAGAGAGGGGCAGCTGTGGGAAATAAAAGATGGAGACGAACACGTATGACAGAGCATCCCATTAGCTACAGGGACCGCTCGCTCTAAGGAAAATGCAGGAGGGGAGCAAGGATGGCCAGCAGGGTTCTCACATGGATCTCACAGTGCAGTGGGTGACGCCCTGAAATACCGAGGCAATGGAGAGAGCTACTGATGCTGAAGGACCAACAAGCAAACAAACAACAAAAAGCAGGAAAGAGGAAACAATTCCTCCACTGAAGGAACTTGAGGAAAGCTTAAAAGCATAAGGAGAAAAGAATCTAATTTGAGAAGAAGAATATTATCTAAAACCCAATAATAAAGAACATACAAGACAACAGGAGAGCAAAGTACATGTCATAGCTCTGTAGGCAGTCCTGAAATCAGTACCATTGACAAAGAAACCCAGGCAGAGTCTATAAATTAAAATGATGATGGAACTGAGACCTTGTGATATGAGTTTGCCTCAGGGAACTACAAAAGCAGATAAGATCCTTGAAAGAAATGAATGTTTCCACATTAAAAAAAGATCCATCTCCATCGTTGGCTGGATCAGTTGGATTAATGTGTATCATAAATAATTTTAAAAGTGGACTGAATATATCTGGCTGCCGAAAGATCCCGTTTTCCACCCAAGCCAACCCTCCGGGAAGAGGCATCTCTCATTTTTCCACACAAAATGAGACAGTAATCACATCGGTTATCCGACACTCATTTGTATTGAAAACATGTGGACCGCCGATGACATCAGGAAATGAAATTTCTCCGGGACTGTGTCTTTGGTAAATTTACAACCTAATTCTGTGCTTTCTGCCTCTTGCCACTGTTGGCTTTATACTCAGAACTGACTGACATCAACATGATGCTCAGCAAAGTACTGAAGTCTCAGGAATTGTATGAATAAGTGACCTGATGTGTATGAAGCTTCTGGAACATCACAGACAGTGAATACTCAACGGAATGCTGGCTCCCTGACTCTCTCCCTTCTCTCCTCAGCAGTTTAAGTCCGGGGCTGGGTTTTCACGTGTGATCAGTCCGTTTCTCAGCAGAACATTTCCTTATTCTCTTTATCGCCCGAGTTCACCTCACAGTTTGCATCAGAGCCTAACCCTGTACGCAGCACGAAGTCAGAAGACAGGAATACAGAACACGAAAGCCAGGCTCCCTCCCGGGATGGCTATTTTAACCTGTCACCTTGAGTGGGTCTTGGGGTGCCGGGCACCTGCCCATGTTCCCTGGGGCGTTTTGCATGAGCCTGACGTGTCAGCAGATGGAGGTAAAGGTGAACAGTGCAGACTACCCTCCACAGCATGGCTGGGCCCTGTCTGGTCCGTGAATGGCCTGTTTGGAACAGAAGGGTGCTCCTCCCCCATAAGGAGAATTCTCCCGCCATGACTTTCTGCCTGGGACACCTGCCCTTCCGGCCAGACACCGATGGTGGGGCATCGGCCCCCCGGGTTTCGGAGCAGCCTATGGCCTCCGGACGTGGCCTCTGCAGAGGTGGGTCTTGCCAGCTTCTTTCCCTCACAACCCAGTTCCCTATAACCAATCTCTGTGCCTCTCTCTGTCTCTGGGCAGGTAGGTAGGAAGTTAGGCAGACAGACAGAGAGACACAGAGCTATACCCCCTCCTGGCTGTTCCTCTGGAGCACCCTGACTCACACACCAGCCCGAGAAGTTCAGAGCTGTAGGCTGCCCCAGTACACTTCCTCCAGGAAGCCTTTCCCAAACAACAGACGACCATGCTTGGAGCCAAACGCGCCGTCAAATTAAACACCGACCAGCAAACATCCCGGGTGAATCGGCCACGCTTAACAGCAGGAGCCGCCAGGACAATATCAGAGCAGATAACTCATCCCCCACCCCATCCCCGCCCCCCCCCCCCCGGGTCCACAGAACGCCGGGAGGGGGGGGGGGGCAGGTCGCTGCGGCGTGCCCGCCCTGCACATGCCTGCTCTGCGTTAAGAGTTCCCGCTGAGCTGGAGGCAGGCCCCGGGGCCGCTGAGGGCACGCAGCCGGTGTGAAGGAACCGGCCCTCTCGGACCCCCACCCTCGGAGTGACGTGCTCATGCTCACCTGGATGGCGGCCAGGTTCTTCTGCTCCTGCGACGGGGCCTCGTGCACGAAGCGCAGCCAGTTGGCGTGGCGCGGGTTGGTGGCGTCCAGCACGTACAGGACCTCGCCCCGGCTCCCGCGGACCTGCAATACAGAGGAGCGGTCACGGACAGCGCCAGCGTCCGCACGCACGTGGGGCAGGACGTGACGTGTTATCCAAAGAGGGTGCCTCTCCTGCTGGCAGGCTTGGAGCAGGAGAGTGAGCACCCTGCTTCCCCGTACACACACACACACACACTCACTCATACACACACACACACACACATCACATACACACACAGAAACGCACACACACATCACACACATATATACACACTCACACACACATACACACACATACACTCACACACACACACACACACACACACAAGCCAACCGGCCCCTGCTCCCTCAGGCAGCTTCCAGCTGACTCGCAGCATCATCAGCTCTCAGGATCACCAAGCCGGCAGCTCTCGTCCGGTCCAGGTGTTCTATTCCTCCGTTTGTCTTTTTAAAAAATACATTTTATTAAAGTCAGAGAGGAAGTGAGAGAGATAGAAACATCAATGATGAGAGAGACTCATTGATCGGCTGCCTCCTACATGCCCCCCACTGGCGATGGAGCCCGCAATCCAGGCATGTGCCCTGACCGGGAATCGAACCGTGACCTCCTGAATCATAGGTTGATGCTCCACCACGGAGCCCCGCCAGCTCAGTGGGGGTGTCACAATGGCAGTTGTGGAGGGAGAACTGTAAGGCAGCCCATCTCTTTGCTCTACAGAAGAGGGGGTGCGGCTTGGCTCCCCAGTTGGCAGATGGGGAGCTGGAACCACCCTTCCCATTCCTCTCTGCACCTGCTTCCTGCCTCCCTTCCCCTGAGGAGGCTGCTGACCTTGCCAGGGGACCAGCCCTCCAGCCATCACTTCCCACGTGACCCAGCAGGGGACAAGCCAGTCCTTCGGCCTTCCCCTGCCTCACACGTGGCTCGCTGAGGAAGGGGGCTGGCTTTCGGTTTCGCGCCCTCCCCACCGGGCCTCCTCAGCTTTCCGCTGGCAGGCAGGGAGCAGCCACAGGAGCAGGCACACCACTGAACCTTCTGGAATGCTAGTTGTTCAAATCTAGCTTCTCCAGAACCTGGCCATGCAGGATCAGGGCACATGCTCTGCCTCAAAAAACATGCGCTCTGTGTGGACATGGAGCAGCCTCCAGGCGGGAGGACATGGAGCGGGTGGCGAGCTCTCCAGGATGGCGCTGGGAGCAGAGCTTGAGAAGTTCATCTTCGCAGACTTGGGCCAGGAGAACCGGTTCCAGGGTCTCTGATCTGACTGTGTCAGGAGGAGCAGAACTAGCCAATGAACACGTTTCAATGATACGTGTGGACAGTCATTCATCATTCCACAGACGTGTGAGTGTCCACCACGAGCTGGGAACTTGCTACAGCTGGGACCCTCCGCGAACACAGCCGGGGAACCAGCACAGACGCAGCCCCGGGAGGCCCAGCGGAGGTAGGGAGGGCTCTGTCAGAGCAGGTGACCGTGACGGCTCTGAAGGGAGGGCGCCCCCATGGAGGGCAGGCAGAAGCCGGCAGGGAGCAGAGAGGGAGGCACGTAGAAAGGCCCTGTCCCAGGAATGGCCTCGAGGCCCGGCTGGAATGGAGGGGCTCGGAGAAGGTGGTGGGTCCCGAGACCAAAAGGACAGGCCAAGGTCAGACCATGCAGGGCCACAGGCCATCTCGTGGGCCACGCCAGCCGTTGGGTGATCTGTTCCCAGGACTTGTTCTCTCAGGAAGAACTCCCCGGAAAAGTTCTTCCTGCCGCGCAGCTCTCTGCTCCAGGAAATGTCCAACGGAGACGAAGACGCCCAGAGAGCACCTCAGCAGCCTTCCTCCTCCAGAGACACCAGCCCACGCCCTCCGGACAGACAGCTTGGCTCACGGTGCCATCCGCCTATTTCCATCCGATTCTGAACCCTGAGGCAGCACGTGGGCCTTTTAAAGTCTCACAAACAAAGCGGACAAAGCTCCTCTCAGGACCAGGGACCATCCCAGCCTCTGACCAGCCTGTACGGCCCGTTCAAATCCACCTCCCAGCACCATCTTCTTCTATTTGAGTTTCCATGAGAATGAAACGGTGGCGACTGTACTGCTGAGGCCTCAACCTGCAAAGCAGCACCTTCTCCTCCTGCTGTCAATCTGAGAGACACCAGCCTGTCTGAGGGGCACCGGCTTCCTTCGACAGTGCCATGGAGAGCCGGCTGAACGGGGAGAGCGGATGGGACCTCAGGGAAGATGGAACCCCTGCTCAGCAGGGCGCACACACTGCCGACACGGTGCCGCTCACAGCCAACGCAGTGGCTGCACCGCACGACGGGCCCCTCTGTCACCGCCCGGCGTCAGGTGTTGGGGCCCGGGGAAGGGCTCCTCGGCTGCCCCTGTCCGGCCGCGGTGACCGGCGCTGACACAGTCACTGCTGCTCTGTCCTCCTGCCCAGCAAAGACCAACTCGGCTCAGCACGAGTCAGACACCCCGACAGGCAGAGAACAGAAAAACGTGGAAATGGGTCATCACGAACATTCGTCTTTGCTCTGAAACTGGTCAGCCACAGACAAGGAAGCACCGTTACTGTTTGGACGGCAGGTCTTCCCTGCAGAAGGGTCTGCAATGTCGCATACGTTATTGTTTTCCTCCCATCGTTCCGAAGGCCTGCGGTTCTCTCACTCATACACACAGACCACCGGGTGCCCAGGGCAAAGCCCCCGACAGATCTGTCCCCGATGTGGTGACTGCCACTGAGAGACGTGCCTTCACGAACAGGAACTGAATGGCAGGGACATTCAGTTCCCCAAAACACGCAATGACTCCTCACTGAGAAGCCACAGGACGTATGCTGGGTGATTCACTGAGGACAGCGAGGCACCCTGTGGGTTCACGAGGCGTGTGGATTCTTTGGAGGTGAAATGTCATGTTTTCCATCTAACTTACAGGCACTCTTTGCCGGTGCGTATAACGTGGCCATATGCCCCTGCTGGCCGATGAGAAGGGAGGGGGCGGGAGGAGAGAGGGGAGAGGGGGGGAGGAGGAGGAAGGAGGAAGGAGGAGAGAGGGAGAAGGAGGGAGGCGGGAGGGGGACCAGGGAGGGAAGTGGGAGGGTGAGGGAAGAGGAGGGAAGAGAGAGGAGGGAGGAAGGAGAAGGGACGAGGGAGCAGAGGCTTCTGTGCTGATGGCTTGTGGAGGCCCCAGGCAGGGCTGTGGACCAGCTCCCCATCTCATGGGCAGCAATGGGCGGTGGTGTCCAGAGGGTCTGGTCTTTGGTGAAAACACTGACCAGGGAGGGCCTGGCTGCTGAGGAACTGGCAGGACGATGGGGCGTGCTCTGCTGGTCAGATCTGGGACCTAAGGCATGTGGTCAGCCTCCTCCGCCAGCCCACCCAGGGTCCCGGCCCAGGCCACCCTGGAAGCCAAGGCCTAAAGCAGAAAGCAGATGGGACAGATGGAAAGACTGTGAGCTGCAGGCCTGGGCACCCGGCTGAGCAGCAGGGGGGCTGGGAGTCCGGCCAGGCCAGGGGAGCAGGGGCTACTCTGGCTCCATGAGGAAGCTGGCCACGTGGGAAGACAGGCCGAAGCTAGGGCTCAAAGGAAAAGATGGGGAGGTGGTGTTCACAGGGACTCAGAGAAACACGGCTCCTTACAACGTAACTTCACTTGAGCTGTTTACATAACATATTCAAAGCAAGCACTAGTGTAGACAGGGTTTCTATCTTCAGGGATTAAAAGACTCTAAGACAAGTGGCGATGACCTCACATTCTGGGAGCAGGCGGAACACATGGGCGTACACACGTCGCCCGCACTGCTCGGGACGTGGGTGGCAGCTCAGGAAGGCGCTGTAACAGCTCACGCAGGAGTCGCTCACATGTGAACTCAGAGAGGAAGCGAGAGCTCCCCGTGACCCCAGCCAGATAAGCACCGTCTGTCTCATCTATCTGAACTAGAGGCCCAGCGCATGAGAACTGTGCGTGGGGCGGGGGGGAGGGGTCCCCTCAGCCCAGCCTGGAGCTTCTCCCACCGGGACCCTCAGGGGATGACCTGCTGCTGGTTTCTGGCAGTCGGACATCCCTCTCACAATCTGCATCCCCGGCTCCTAATTGCTCACCAGCCTGCCTGCCTGGTCACCCCTAACTGCCCCCTCTGCCGGCCTGGTTGAACCACGCAGCCTGCTGTTTGGTTGTTACTGTGAGGGCATTGTGACCAACTTGCATATTACCATTTTATTAGTATAGATTAGATAAACATAAAGCATGTCCTTCCTGCCAGCCTTCGGGACACAGGGGACACACAGGGACCTGCAGGCGCCATCCAGAGCATGTGGACCTGCAGCCCACGCCTGCTGCTCCCACTGCTCCCATCCCATGTCATCACACGTGACGTGTAATGGAAGATGAGGGTCTGAGACGTAACAGCTCGCTGAGGCCCCTGGCCCCTGCACCTGCCCCCTCCCTCCGCTGCTCCCCCCACCCCACCAAAGTGCCTGCCCTGCCCTGGGAGACCTTCGCCCAGCACCACCCTTCTAGGAGGTTCCACCAGCACACAGACGTGGGCCCCGTGTTCTCTCACGCTCCCAATGGGAACATGGGGTCATGGAGACATGGAGACCCCAGTGCTGGTCCCCCAGGCGGTGTCTCCCCAGTGCCCCCACCTAACACAGCATCAGGAGGGGAGCAGCCATGGCACAGGCTGCTGATGGAACACAGAACATAGGTGTCATCCTCGTGAGGACACGGCGGGAGCCGGCGCCCTCCTCCTTCCCGAGAACAAACGTGTTCCCAGCCCCGCTCCCTCAGAGCTGACCCCGGCTCTGGGCCGTGCCCGGCTGTGAGAGCACCCCGCCTGCCGGTTCCCGGTGACAGGTGACAGGAGGGGCACAAGCGGGCAGAGCAGGTGTGCGGGTGAGCATGGAGACAGCCTCTGCTCCTCTTCCTTCCATTCGTTCCTCTTGTACTTCCTGCAGGAACAGCTGTGACCTTACCTGTGCCTCCACCCAGGGGAGATGTGTGAGAGAGGACGCCACGTCCTCACCCCTATGAACACGACCTCGCCTGCACCCACCGC